GGGGGACGAGTGGGTCCTCTGACAGATCGGTGTACGCGTCTATGCCACTATAAATTAAAACATATTTTATGAAAAACATGCACGAAAAAATTATTTCTTGTGCTTGTTTGATAGCAAATTACACTTTCTTTAAATTTTATGCTCAAAGAAAGGGTAGCTTTCGGTTGTAAAAAAGTTGCTAACTATGAGCTGTTTTACAATTGTGAGGTGTTTATTCATAATACATCGTATTCGCCAATTTATTAGTGCTGCCTATACTGCATAAAATATGTTCCACATCTATTTCAATCTTTTATGACAACTATGCGACTTCTTCCTCAAACAGTAGGCGAAAACGTACTTTTCCTTAAACAGGATGTACATAATGCGCAGTTTTTAAACCTTGAATTCGAGTGTAGCAGTCACTAGGTTAGAAAATTATTCGGCTATTGCGCAGCTTTTTTATAACCGAAAGCTACTCTTTCTATGAGTATAAAATCTGAAGAAGGCGTAATTTGCTATCAAACAAGCACAAAAAATTTGAAGAAGGCGTAGTTTGCTACCAAACGAGTACAAGGAATAATTTTCCATTTAAAGTAGGCGTAATTTTTTATCAAACAAGTACATGAAATAATTATTTTGTGTAAGGAGGCGCAATTTGTTATCAGATAAGTACGAGAAAGGACTTTTTCGTGTACTTTCCATAAAATATATTTGAATTTATAAAGGCAGTCAAAATCAATGATAAAACGGCATACTACTTAAGTAGCCAGTTTTTACAATAAATACGTTTTTCTAGTGGTCAGAACGAAGCTCGTTTAAAAGCCCGCATCTTATCATGACTGAAATGACTTCAGAATAGACTACACGCTAATCAGTTTCACAACCTGAGTCAATACCGATTAGCGAAAGAGTATCAGCCTTTCGCCTATATCGGAATGTTGCGTGATCCGTGGCGTCTACTGTACTATCTATCAACTTCCGATGCGGTAGACACATGACGTTTTCGTCCTTCCCAAACCGAGTAACATTTGATGTGGTGTGTGTGTGTGTGCTTGTAGGCAAGTCAACAGTCGTTGCATTGTTGGAACGCTTCTACGAACCCACCTCCGGCAGGATCGTCATCGACGGGGTCGATCTGAGGGACTTCAGTCTCTCTACTCTTCGCGGTCGTCTGCTGGGCTACATCAGTCAGGAGCCGGAAGTCTTTCACACTACCGTCTACGAGAACATTC